CTCTCTTTTATATTTTAGATGCCGTTAGACGATATTCCGCCAATAGAATTAACGAAGCTACATTTCTCAGAAATCAAACAAGATATATGTGTGGAATTTGGTGTAATCGCCGGCGATAATGATATAGCTTTACATAGTTCAAATAATCATCTAATTATATTAGATCTATTGGATTCAACGGCATTGTTGGCTGACCTGCCATACAATATATCCTACGCGGAAATTCCTCAAAACTATGACTTTATCGCGCTGAAGAAAGCGAGTTTAAAAACATCTAATAAAAATTGCAATTTGTTAGATATGCAACGACTAGCATTAGAGCCATCATATGTGTCTAATTATTTTTGTGAGCCTCCAAAACTAAATGCACTACAATTCAAACGAGCACCATTGCACTCATGTGTAGAACAACCAATTGCTGTAATTCTAACTGCCAGTGGCTTGTGCAGAGTATTACAAAAAAATTCAGCACCCAATCGTCAGTGGAGTGAAATATTCAATGTAAATGAATATTTATCAAATGAGTTAACATCATCTAATGCTTATAGCTGTTCTGATTTTAATCAAGAATGCTGTATCAATGCCGCCACTTGGCATACAACTGAACCAATACTATTTGTATCTTTCGGCAGCGGCTACATTTCAGCTCTTAGATTCCGAAATGCGTACATCCCAGCATTGAACGATTTTTTCATATCGAGAACCAATCTTGAAAAAGTATGCGATATCATCTGTTTTGACTACTGCCTGGTAGCTAGTTGCAGGGATGGTATTTTGAGAATATTTTCTTTAAATAACTTAGGATCTAATTTGGCTTTATTATCACCGTTAGCCGTTTTATGGGATAAACAAGATAATATAATTTGCAACCTAATTCATATGAAAAAATTTTTGCCTAATATGTATCTGGTTGTTTTTAATAAAGGCTCATATTTACTAGTGTGTATGCTGAGTGTAAAAGGCAAAGTACTTTGCTCTAAAAAGTTGCACATCGGCGGAATAAAAGTAACAGGTAGAAGAAATGTTTTTTACAAAACCACTGATAATGAATTAATTTATACATGTTTTGATTAGGTGTTCAACTGATTTCTACCTCAGAGTTTATTGTAACAACCGCTATGAGTTATGTGCGTTATTTTCGGGTAAATTTTCTGGAGCCAAATGAGCTTAAAATAAACGAACAACTTATTAAAGTTGATTTGGATACCTCAAATCTCGAAATTATTGGAGTAATGCCTTCGTATAATAGCAGCCTTTTGATATTCATACTTCATCGCAGTGGGGAATATTCGCAACGCAGCAATTACATGCATGGCAGTATATTTGTAAATATTTCAAAATTAGAAAATAAAGGCATCCCTAAATCAGCACCTACCACTGACTTAGGTGACATGAGTCAGAGTCATGCTTTTTCGATTGCTTCCGGATTGCACACATTTAACAAGTGTAGTTTTTTTCCCGATGTAATAAACATTAATTTACCAGTTATTTTGGACGAAGGCGTTTTGCTTCAACTTCAAGCGAAGTATTTGCTTATCTCAAACTTACTGAATTCTAATAGGTAAGAAATATTTAAGATATTATACATAAATATAAGCCTGATACAATAATTTTTAGTAGGTAGTTTCACTTCAAAATTTCTTACATATTCAAACACACAATGTTACCACTTTTACGATATTAAACCTGGTGATTTTCACTTATTCTCTTTGGTATTTTTTCACTGAGCAATGCACGACCGTTCGGCATAATCAAATCTGCGCTTGTAAAATGAACGGAACACACAAATGGTTCTCTTGGCAATTGGTGTGCACTTACTTCACAAGCCTACATCCACTTCTCTCGCAATTACAGCAGAGCAGAAAATTTAAAATGTTTTATGTTTCCAGCTATTTCGCGTGTGTTCTTGAATCAAGTTTAATTCAAAATATTTCGAATTCTGGATTTTCCTGTCGGATGTAACTCTGTGGCATTCTACGACGGTTTACGGTCAAAACCAAAATCGCAGAGATAGTAGTCGAGAGTTCGAGCTTTAATTTAAGCGTAAATGGAAGGTTCTATCACCTTTTGTTTCTTTCTTAGAGCTTCTAAAATATAGCAAAAAACGTGTTTTTCAGACACTTTCCCTCGTTTTTCTCCAAATCTGGAGCCGATGGAAACCCTATACTTACGGATTCGTAATCAGCACCAGAAAGTCTATAAAAAAAAGCTTAAACATTTGCTGCACCAAACTTTTTTCCATTTTTGTTGGCCTGTGCATTTTTTATGTTTGTGTTGTTATGTAATAAAAAATATTATCCATAAAATACTTACTAGCTTTCTGCGTATTTTCTTTTTCTACTTCCGCATATTAGCTAACGTCTTTTTTAAGAATATTTAAATGAGGGAATAAGTCACCGATACTAAAAACGACTTTTCTCGCAAAGAGCGCGTTCGCCGATTTTGGTTTTGACGGGAAACCGTTCAAAGAGTGCCACAGAGTGGACATCCAACAGGAAAGTCCCAGCCGTGGCATATTTCCGGCTTTTCCACGTAATTCGCTCTCAAATTGAGAAAGAGAAAATTTATTTCGATGTGTGAACAGCCAGAAAGACCTTTCTGTCACATTTCGGAAATCAGTTTCAGAAATAAAAGTTGCAAGCTGTGACTGCAATTGAGAGAGCGCAAATCGATTTCGGAAATATATTTAAACTTTCTCGTGCTGCACTAGCAATCTGCGATTCGTCTTTCGGAAATAAAAAAAAAAACATCTTTCAAACGACACTTTACATGCAAGGTGTGACTGCTCATGCAACTGTTTTCTGAAATTTCTCAATTTGTCAGCCTTTTCGAAATATATTGCTTACGAAATATATGCCACGTCTGACACGCTCTAATACTTTTGAATTAAACTTGGTTCAAACACACCGCGTTGCAACATCCACGTAAGCAGCCGCTCAAATTTAAAAAAAAATTTATAAAAAGTTTGAAAAGTTTTCATCCTTTACATTTGGCTTTGCTTTGTTTTTTCCAGCGTCAAAAATGTGGAATTTTTATAATAAATTGGTACCACAAAAGTTTCGAAACACGATTTCTGTCAGATAGCTAACATGGCGGCTAAGAGGAAGTGGTGAAACTACCTTTAAAAAGCCATTGTGCTTTCGTGGTAGAAAAAAGCGGGCACAATACAATCTGGATAGAGGGAACTAATTCGTGCATAGGGTGATCCAAAAATGCATGCAGGAAGGAAAAGTTCAAAATGTTAAGTTTTCACCCCTAGGATTTTTCTAAAGGGGGGAAAGTAAACCAGTATCTTTTTGCTACAAAAAAGATATTCAGAACTGTCTCAAAGTCCATGAAGTTTACCATGTATTTAAGGTGGCGAAAAACACGATTTCTTGGAAATGGTATAGAATTCTTGAAAATCGTAATTTTTCGATCAGAAAACTGTTTCTCTTCAGGAGACTTTCAATAATTATACCCAGTTATTTATCTTAAAATTTTTTAATACTAATAGTTTCTTGGGCCCCATGACATTTTTTTTTGGTTTTTCGGGGGACCTATAAAAATAGTTAATATTAAAAAATCTTCAAATAATTGTATACAATTTCTACGAAAAAATAGTTTTTTCTCTATAAAAGGTCTGTTCGATGAACCTTTTTGTGCACTAAACTGTTTTGAACTGTGTGTTTGTGAATCACCAACTAACACTTTTCTGTTGCAAGTTAGTGCAGCACATAAAATCAGCTGTTCCTTCAGTGAAGAAACCATACGATACCAATTTTCATCAACAAATGGAAAAATATATTGATATTTAGTGAGAAAATAACAAATAGATAATTTTTGTGATTTTACCTGAAATATATGTTTTTATAAGTTGCACGGGTTTCGTTTTGAGACCTTAGTAGGGGAAGTCGGTGTATTCTTGGACACTTTTATTTTGGTCGAAAACTCGCAAAAAACTTATTTTTCTAATCATTTTAAAGCTTGGTTTTGTAGTACGAGAAATAACCTTCCGTTTGCTATCATCAGTTTGATCTAATTGTATTGAGTTATGCATGTTATTTCAGTTGGAATAAAAATTGTTTTTTGCACTTTTGAAAAATCTCAGGGAATTATTGGACAATTTGTAAGTCGATAAAAATTAAAATTATTGATGGAAAACATTTATTTATGAACGAAAACGAAAGAATACATCATAATTAATAGCATAAAGTGAAAATTGACGATTAAAATTATTCCGAATAGCAGTGAACACCCCGGGTGAACACCTCGATCACAAACAATGCAATGGGCTGTGTTTCGGCGGTTGTCTTGTCTCTGCATATTTTTCTTGCAAATTATGCAGAAATCAATGTCTTCTTCCACGTACGTTTCGGTCGGAGGCGGTATTTTCTTCACAGATTTCATGATATTGCCGAAATTATCGATGTCTCCTTGTTTGCATTATAAACCGGCATTCTGGCTAAACCAAAATGTATAGGTCCAAAAAACTATTAGAAATTGCCGAAAAACTAATGCTATGTGGAAACTATGCAAACAAAATGCCTCGAATTTCAAGAAATAAGTGTCCAATTATACCCTGAAGACAGTGTCCAATAATTCCCCGAACTCTCATTTTTGCGAAATCGCGGCGTATAAGTAGGTAATGCAATACAATCTTAATACAAAATTCTTTACTGTGTCGGAGGCGTAAGCTTCCACGAGTATTATAAATATTTTTAACTGAGTTAGTTCGTCGGAAAATCTTGTTAAAATAAACAAAATACTAAATAAAATAAAAACTTTTGAAGTATCAAATTTCTATCTGCTATGACAAAAAAAAATGAGCTCAGCATGAGACGAGTTGATGACAGTTGGTTGAAACTGTAAAGCTTTATTAGGGGAAAAAATATCTTGCTGTCCAACAATACCCCGTCCAAGAATTCCACGACTTCCCCTACTAAATTGCTCTGGCAACTGCCAGATTTTGTTTAGCCCTGCGCTGTTCTACACTTTTAGCCCACTCATCGAACAGACCTATAAAATACATGGAAAACTTCATGAGCTTTAAGGCAGTTTAATACTTTTATATATTATGGACCACCCTAGAACTAAGATTGTTCATAGAACTCAAATTAGGTATTTTATTCATTCACTAAATAAACACATTTTATTTAAAATATATATTCTGTTCATATTTTTTAACTTTAAAATTAATTTCATCCAGAAAAGTCTTAGGCTGCTGTTTTTTTCCTTGAAGACACTCGTCTCCTTCAGCGGTATAATTTCGAAGGACAAGTGGATTATCAAGTATCATTACAAAATAAATTATGTGTTCGCTCTACAGAGTACTCAATAAAAGATATTTGATGTTCACTCGACTAAGGAGATCAGCTAAACTGGGGTTCATTCAAAATTTTTTTGTCAGCCATATAAACTATATGGGCAAATCTCTGGAACCGTGTGATCCACGTTGAAAAAAACGTTAATTCTTAAATGGAACCCAATATATAAATATATCAAAATATTTGAAATCCATTGGAAATAATTCTTGTATGATTAATTTTCCTTAAATTAGAGGTGGGAAAACTCAGCACATTTGCACTGTGCTGACAGCATGCAGGGCTACAGGGGCTAGCTGAAGTTAGGTTGCCAAAGCCCAGGGGTAAGGGAGGAAATTTGAGCGAGTTGCATCTGCGGTGTAACCGGAATACCGGGGAAAGTAACCGTGAGTACTTACCAGGGAGGTCAACTCTAACAAAGCCGATTCCCCCAAATTTTTTGAAAATTACAATTTGAGGTAACTTAATTTTCTTTTTTAATTAAAACAAGCAATAAATATACCTACGATGCAATATTTTTATTAGTATAGCAGCACAGAGCTTCTTAAAGTGTGTTCCGCGGAACCCAAGAGTTCCGTAGAAAAGTCACCGCGAAATTAGTTTTGGTATGAATAAGCACGGCGGTCGGTTTGAGTTGCACACAGAAAGAAAAGTTCTATAAACAGTTTGGCCGAGACGCAATTATCTATTTTCAAGTATACATATGTACTCGTAGTTGGTATGATTCCCGTACTGAGTGCCATACCTACATAAGAGCGTTGAGCTTGCGCTTGCCAGCTTGTTTTTTTCTAACCGGTATGTGTTGTTGGCCGCTGTAGCCAAAGGGTTATATACAAGTTTCTACAAGGAACTAGAGCTGCAAAACTATCGATGGCACTATCGATAGTTTCAATTTGACACCACTATCGATGAATGGTATCCACTATCGCGATACTATCGGAAACCTTCAAATACAAATAATTGCCAAAAATCAGCAGGGCGACTTAGCTACTTTAAACTACAAAAGTGCATACTCAAAAATTTTCTAAGAAACCTAATTAAAAAGCTCGAAATTTTGATTACTCGAAAAACTCGAATTTTCCTCGTTTTTGTAAATTGTTTAAAATTCAGACTTGCAACGTGTTGTTTTTGTTGCTTAAAATATCTTATTTGTTATTTTTAATAAAGCACGCCAAAATGGTGTTTAAAAATAACATTTCTGTTTTTTCTACTAATATTACCATATACCTCATACCGTAGTAAGGATCCCATATTTTTCTCTTACCGATAGCATCGAT